CCCAGCCAGGCACAAAGCCCAGCCAGCCTCGGAGCCGGGAACGGCAGCCCAGGTGCCCAAAGAGCGGCAGAGACCCCGCTCCGACCACGGGCCCCATTTCCTGCTGGGGTTTGGGGTGTGGGATGGGGAGACCCCAATTCCCATCATGGGATTGGGGATTCAACTCCCTCTTCCATCCTCAGGGATCAGGAGAACCCAGGACAGGGAATTTCCCATTTCCCACCCCAGGACCGGGGATTTAACCCTCTCCTCCATCCCAGGGATGTGAAAACCCCATTTCCCACCCCAGGACTGGGAATAAAACTCCCTCCTCACCCCAGTAATAGGAAGAGCCCATTTCCAACCCCAGGACTGAGAATAAAACTCCCTCCTCCACCCCCAGTAGCAGGGACACCCCATTTCCCACCACGGGAGCGGGGATCCAGCTCCCTCCTCCACCCCCAGGGATGGGGCCACCCCAGGCCAGGGATGGGGGGCACTTTTGGTGTCTCCCAGCTCATCCCAACCTGCAAACTCATTGAAGTGGTTCCCGATGTCGAAGGCCTGGTAGTTGTAGCCCGTGTACTCGTAGTCGATGAAGCGAACGTGCTCTGCGCGGGCAAGAGCGGCGGCCGTGAGGGAAGGGGTGGGGGGACAGAGGTGACACCCCCCGGGGGGTGGCCCAGGGGACACCCCCGGGCTCACAGACCTCGTGTCCGGTCGTAGATGATGTTCTTGCACAGGAGGTCGTTGTGGCACAGCACCACGGGCGAGCCCAGCTGCGGCAGCGTCTCCTCCATCCAGGCCAGCTCCTGCTCCAGCGCCTCCGGGCTGGGCACGTCCTGCGGGAGGCTGCCCGAAGGGACAGGAGGGACAGGGTGGCATCGCTGCTGCTCTGGGGGAGCCTCCCTGGGGCTCGGGGGCAGAATTTCCCCAGCTTCCAGCACTTTCCTGGGGGCTCAGGGATAGAATTGAGCTTCTCTGGGGCCTCAGGGATAGATTTGAGCTTCCCTGGGGGCTCAGGGGCAGAATTTCCCCAGCTTCCAGCACTTTCCTATAGCTCAAGGGCAGAACTGAGCTTCCCTGGGGGCTCAGGGGCAGAATTTCCCCAGCTTCCAGCACTTTCCTGGGGCCTCAGGGATAGAATTGAGCTTCCATGGGGGCTCAGGGGCAGAATTGAGCTTCCCTGGGGGCTCAGGGGCAGAATTTCCCCAGCTTCCAGCCTTTCCTGGGGGATCAGGGGTAGAATTGAGCTTCTCTGGGGCTCAGGGGCAGAATTTCCCCAGCTTCCAGCACTTTCCTGGGGGATCAGGGATAAAATTGAGCTTCTCTGGGGGCTCAGGGGCAGAATTTCCCCAGCTTCCAGCACTTTCCTGGGGCCTCAGGGATAGAATTGAGCTTCTCTGGGGCTCAGGGGCAGAATTTCCCCAACTTCCAGCACTTCCCTGGGGGCTCGGGGACAGCGTTTCCCTCTCATGCCCTACAAACCACCCCATTAATGACACAAAGCGGGGCTAACGAGGCTGGTTTTTGGGGAGGGGGCCAGGTTTGGCACCCAGGCAGACACCACAGCTCGCCCTCAGCGCGTCCCTTGTCCCCAAAACCCACCCGGCCCACGCCCCAGATCCACCCAGCGCTCGCTCTCCGAGCACCCGGCAAAGCCCCGGGGTGTTTTGGACTCAGGCGGGGCCTCCCGGTGAACTCAGGAGTGCGGCTTCCAAGAAGAGAGCTCGTTAATGATTGCCTAATTGGCCGCGCTGAAGGCGCGGGGTGGGTAAAGTCTGCCCGCGGCTGAGAAAAGCCCGGCCGGCTCCTGGCGCGGGTTAATGATTGCCCTGCCTGCGGTTCGTTCACCTCCTCCGCCTCTTGGGGCTGCCCGAATCCTTCCCAGACACCCCAAAACTCACCCGGCCGCCCCAAAAAATGGTTGGGAGTGGGGACTGGGTGTTCCGATCTAGGCTGGGTTTCTAGGATCCATCGTCAGCTCAGCAGGGCTTGAGCTCGGGCTTATTCTGGGTTTAAATTCCCGGGAGGAGGAGGAGGATTGTTACAGCAGTGGGAGGCTGCGGCTCTGGGTGGATCCTGCACAGACACATCCCAGAGCTCCAAAAGAGCTGAAATCTCCCCAAAGCTGGCGGCAGGAAAGGGCTGGAGCTGTTCCTGGGGCTGCAGGAGGGATCCAGCAGCGGATCCAGCCCCAAACCCGCAGAGGGAATCTGGGAATCTTTACCTGGGAACCTTTACCTGGGAACCAGGGCTCTGCCCCCTGCTCCCGAGGCAGAGCCCGGCTCTGGGGGATCCCTCTGCCTTTACCTGGCGTTGGATACCTTTGGGCTGAGCTCCGTCTTCACCAGGCTGAGGTATTTGTGCAGCTTCTGCCACAGGATGGGCCTGGGGAGGCTCCCGTTGGCGTGGATGGCGTGGACTCGGGCCATCTCCCGGGCCACCAGCCTGGCATGGAGAGCAGGAGAGAGGTGAGAGGTGATCCCAGATCCTCGAAATCCCTCCTCTCTCCGCCCCAGAAAGAGCTTTGGGGTGTCTTCAGAGGGATTTACAGAAAGTCCTGCAGGGTCAGCACAGCTGACCCCTCATTCTGCGTCAGGGATCAGCCTCTGAGGCATTTCAGAGTCCACATTTCCAGGGCAAATTCAGGCCAAAACTCAGCTTCCCGTGGCATTCCGGCTTCCCAGAAAACCTTTATTCCAGGTTCCCAGGAAACCTCTCTTCACCAGAACCTGACGCTTTAGAAATGTTCCCATTTGACCCATTTATCCCCCACCACCCCCCAGGGCTGAGCACACCAGCGACCCCCACCCCTGGCAGTGAGGGGAGAGCTGGAAACACGGAGCAAATCCCCAGAAAACCGGGAATTTTCCCCAGCTGCTTTTCCCTGGAAAACCCCCAACTCCCCCCCACGGGAGGCGCCGCACACCTGAAGATGCGAGGATCCCGCACGTGGTCGGGCCCCAGCGCGATTCCCGGCAGGAATTGGTAGCAGAGCCCGTTCTGGAAGGCGCAGTAGAGGTCGGGGGCGCAGCCGTGGGCGCGCAGCACCTGGAAATTCCTCAGCTCCGTCTCCCTGTCCACCAGCAGCTCCGTTTTCCTGCCGTACACGCGCACCAGCAGCGCGTCCGCCATGCCCTCGTCCGTGTAGCAGGCCACCAGCTTGTTGGTGATGCCGTCAGTGAAGAGCTGCGTGGGGACAAACACGGCGGGGGTGACACCTGGATAACCGGGGGAACCCTCTGCTCTCTTCCCAGAGGTGGAAAAACCCCGTGGCGACGGTAATAATGAGGAGAAGGAGCGAGGCAACGCAGCCGGGAGAGCTCCTGGAGGGGTTTGAAAGGGCTCGAGGTGGTGGTTTGGGTGGGAATCCTGTGGTTTTACACCTGGGAGCTCAGGGACAGCTCAGGGATAGTTCAGGAATGTCTCAGGGATAGCACAGGAATATCTCGGGGATAGCTCAGGAACAGGTCAGGAACAACTCAGGAATATCCCAGGGATATCTCAGGAACAGCTCAGGAACAACTGAGGAACAACTCAGGGATATCTCAGGGATATCTCAGGGATATCTCAGGGATATCTCAGGGATATCTCAGGGATATCTCAGGGATATCTCAGGGATAGCTCAGGGATAGCTCAGGGATAGCTCAGGGATAGCTCAGGGATATCTCAGGAATATCTCAGGGATATCTCGGGGATAGCTCAGGGATAGCTCAGGGATAGCTCAGGGATAGCTCAGGGATAGCTCAGGGATAGCTCAGGAATAGCTCAGGGATAGCTCAGGGATATCTCAGGGATAGCTCAGGAACAGCTCTCTTGGCACGGGAGCGGCCTCGGGAATCGCTCCCGGGGGGAAAAAAAAAATAAAATAAAAAAAAATCAGGCTGAATTGGCACGAAAATTTAAAAAAAAAAAATAGATGAATTAATAATTAAAATAAATAAATAAACCGCCCAACGAGGCTTGAAAACAAACCCGGAGCAAACACCACCGCCCCATCCCCTCCTCCGACCCTCCCCGCGGGCCGGGGCGCTGATAGGCGGGGACGTCGCTGCTGGGGACATCTCGTGTCACCGCTCTGATGGCTCCTCGCAGATGGAAAGGGAGTTTTGTTCTCCCGGCGCTCCGCCTTGGCCGCCTGCCCGCGCACATGCCGGGGCTGCTGCCGCCCGCGCCGGGCCCCGCGCCCCATCCCGCCGGCGTTTCGGGCACCTCGGCGGCATCCAGGGGGTTTAGGGATGTGTCACCCCACGGGAAAGCCCTGTCCCCTTGTCCCTGCAGTGCTGCGGCTCCCCCTGGGAAGGGTTCCTTCATCCCGCCGGGATTTTGGGCACCTCCAGGGTATTGAGAGGGTTTGGGGCTGTCACCCCACAGAAAATCACCCTCGTTGTCCCCCGTGCCAGCTCCAAGCGGGGCGCTCTGGGGTGCTGCGGCTCCCCGTGGGAAGGATTCCTTCATCCCTGTGGGATCGGGGAGCCGGAGGGGGGAGAGGGGCTCCTGCTCCGGCAGCCGTGGAGCTCAGGGATGGGACGGATAATTTTAGACATCCCACTCAGCAACCCACGCTCCCCTATAGGGCTCCTATATATAGGGCTCCTGGAGCAGCCTCCCGAGGGAGACTCCAGGCACGGGAATGAGACCCCCCAAGTCAGACGGGGCTGACACCCCCATTCCACAGCTGGATTTGGGGCGAGCAGCTGCCCCATCCTCATGGCTGCTGCCCCTCAGCTGCGGCTGAACCTTCTCAAGCTGCTTTTCCCCGAGCTGATAATCTGGGTTTCACCACGGGGCTCGGCTCCCTCCTCCTCTTGTCCTGCCAGGCCCCAGAGGAAACTGAGGCAGCAGAGCTGTCACACCCCATCCATGCAGGTGCCACCGTCGGCCACACACGGCTCGGCCACAGGTGAGCGGCTCCAGACAGAGCGAAATCCTGGTGTTCTGCTTTGTTTCGCTGCCCCACAGCCCGGGCAGCCCTTTCCAGCAGGTTTAACGGGATTACTGAGCCTGATCCCCCCCTGAATTCCAGGCCGCCAAGTTCGGAGACGCGCACGTGGCTGCTCGGTGGCCTGCAGGGACTCGCTGGGTTCGGGGGTGGCAGCTCCGCCGGCTCCCAAGGATCGGCTGCAGCTGCCTGGGGGATTCCCGGTGCTGTTCCCTGTGGATCCAGGCTGCAGCCACCCCAAATCCTTCCCTCCTGCAGCCGGAGGACGGCAGGGACAGAGGGAAGGAGTGACACCCCCAAACTTTGCAGGGATTAAAGGCAAAGCGAGACCTGCGCCGAAGCGCTGGGATGAAGCAGCAAAATCCATCTCCTGGTGCTGCACCTGCCGGGAGAATCCCTCAGCATTCCCAAAACGCCGCCGTGCTCGCTGCCTCGGCACCCCCGGCCCGCAGCTGGGCTCCAGCGGGGCAACCTGGTGCCAAATCCGGGCTAAAAACACCCAACCCAAGATCGCTCTTATCTCCGGCTGAGGGGTGGATGGAGGAGTTTGTGCTTCCCTGGGAGCGTGGGTGGCTCCGCCGCACGGACATTCCTGGGGATGAGGAGCAGGAGCCCCGGGAAGCGGGCACAACCTGGAGCGCAGGAGCAGCCAGACTCTTCTTGCCCTGCTCCTGAGCTCCGGGAGATTTTCCCGTGCCACCGGCACAGCCTGGTACAGCCCCCGCGGGGCGCTGGCAGCGGGGCAGCGCTCCGGGGCACCGGGCGAGGGAATGGGATCGCTGATGGGAACCAGCTCAGGCCCCCGGCCCGCTCCTTCCCATCCCGAGCGGCTCCTGCGAGGGGAAACGCGGGAGGAGGGAAAGCAGCCGAGGGAAACGCAACGGGAGGGTTTTCCCTCAACTCCTAAGTGGGTTTTTTTTTTCATTTTTTTTTTTTTTTCATTTTAATTAAAAACACACGCACGCACACCCGAGCTGCTGTTGAACACTGACCCCTGCGGAGCCTGGATACCACAGAGCTGGGTCCCCGCACAACCACCGAGCTCCGAGAACAGAGCGAGACATTTCCTGCCCCTGCAAACTCCAACTCCCAGCTTCCTGCCCGCTGCCATCTGCCCTTTTCAGATGGCTTTTCCTGCAGCTTCTTGTATTTCATTACTCTCGGCTATTAATACATTTTTAATGACGGGAAGCGTGTGCCCTCGGAGGGGACGCTCGCTCACGTGCAGGCATTTAAGGGCACTCGGTGCCAGCCCCTCCGCGCTCCGGTGCCCAGCGCCAGGGCACGGCCGAGGGCACCGGCGCCACCAGCCTGTGTCACACCAGACCCGGCCGGAGGGGGAGAGGGATTCCCAAAGCCCTGGCAGCTCCGCACAGCCGAGCTCTGCCCCGTACCCGGTGCCCGGCTCCCACTGGGGCTCAGCCCGGGGAAGGTGGGAGGCGGCAAAT